GCGCTGTGCCGCGGCCCCCCGACCCCTCTTAACCCCCTGCCCGCCCGCGGCACGGCCCCTCCATGCAAATCTGCCCCGTGCTCACCGCCAAAGCCTGCCCGCGCCTCCCTCCCCACGGCCCTCCCCGCTCCCAGCCCGCCTCGGCCACGTGCTACGCAGCGGCGCTTGTCCGAGCCCCGGCAGCGCAGACACGGCCCCGCCGACATGCCTGAAGCCGGGCACCCACGGACACCCCATCCCCACACCGCGGTGAGCCGAGCAGGGCCAAAGGGCCTGCGCGAGCCGGGCTCCTTGGAGCAGCAGGGCACCAGGCGGCCCTCGCCCCTCCAACACCCCCGCCGTGGGGCCGGGGTCCTGCTGACCGCCAGGAACAAACCCCACCCTCAGCATCGGCCCCTCTTACACGGGTCCCCGGCCCCACACAGGCCTTGGCCCTTCCTGCCCGTCCCCGCTGCAATTCGTGCCCTGCACTGCTGCTCGGCTCCACCTGCCCCGGCCCCTTTCCACAAAGGCAGGTGCCAAGTCCTGCCCCGGGGCCGGAGCAAGCCCTCGCCCCGCACGGGCTGGCGGCCGACCGGCTGCAAAGCAGCTGGGCAGAAGAGGCCCTGGGCCTCCTGCCGGACCCCAGCTCGCCCAGCAGCCACCAAGGCGCCCTCGCGGCAAAGGAGGCCCAAACCGCCCTGTGCTGCGGCAGGAGCAGCGCTGCCAGCAGGTTGAGGGAGCTGAGCCTTCCCCTGAGCGCAGCCCCGCCGAGGCCACTGCTGCAGCGCTGCGTCCGCCTCCGGGCTCCCCAGCACAACACAGACCTGCACGTGGTGGGGCCACTCCAGCAAAGGGCCACGAGGGCGGAGAAGGGGCTGCAGCATCTCTCCTTCGGGCAGAGCCCCCGAGAGCTGGGACTGCTCAGCCCGGAGAAGGGAAGGCTCAGGGAGAAGCTCCTCAATGCTCATAAATACCTGACGGCGGGCAGAAAGAGGACAGTGCCCTTCCCAAAGCTCTTCCACCCAGGGGCAGCCCGAGACAGCAGCAGAGGATGCGAGTGCAAACTCAAGTACAGGAAACTCCATTTACACCAAAGAAGAAAGAGGATTCTGCTCTGAAGCTGGTCAATGCCTGGCACAGGCTGCCCAGAGAGGCTGCGAAGGCTCCAGCCTTGGAGACAGGCCAAACCCAACGCCACAGGACCCGCACAACACAAGGCTGCGGGAACTGGCTTTCCGCCAGGCGCCTCAAGACAGCAGTCACGTGGAGCAAGACCTCTGGGGAAACGCACCTCAACGCCAACAAGACAAGACTATGGGGAAACGCCTTGCATCCCTTCTGGGAAATCGGAGGCCTCTCTGAAGTGCCTGTACACAAATGCATACAGCATGGGGAATAAACCGGGGTTAAGGGTCTGTGTGCAGTTGCAGTGCTATGCGCTCATTGCGGTTATGGAGACATAGTGGGATAGCTCGCGTGACTGGAATGTTGCAGTGGGTGGGTAGAGGCTCTTTAGGAAGGACAGGCCAGGAAGGCAAGGAGGAGGAGTCAGTCGCCCTTTATGTGAGAGAGCAGAGTGAACCTATGGAGCTCTGCCGAGGGGTGGCCAATGGGCCGACTGAGAGCTCATGGCTAAGGGTCAAGGGGCAGGCGAATGGGGGTGACACTGTTGCTACAGGCCACCTGATCAAGAAGAAGGAAATGAAGCCTTCTACACACAGCTGGAAGTAGCCTCGTGTTCGCAGGCCCTGGACCTCATGGGGGGCTTGAACCACCCCGATACCTGCTGGAGGGACAGCACATCCAGGCACAGGCAGTCCAGGAGGTTCCTGGAGCACATTGACGACAGCTTCCTGATACAGGTGACAGAGAAGCCAATGAGGAGAGGTGCTGTGCTGAACCTCATACGTACAAACAAGGAAGGGCTGGCAAGAGACGTGAAGGCTGGGGGCCACCTTGGCTGTAGTGACCAGGAGATGATGGAGTTCAAGATGCTGAGAGGAGGGAGCAGGGCAAAGAGCAGGATCACAACCTTGCACTTCAGGAGAGCAGACTTTGGCCTCTTCAGGGACCTGTTTGGAAGAATCCCAGGGCACAGGGTCCTAGAAGGAAGAGGGGTCCAAGAAAGCTGGTAGATATTCAAGGATCACCTCCTCCAAGCTCAAGAATGGTCCCTCCCAGTGAGCAAGAACTCAAGTAAAGGGGGCAGGAGACCTGCCTGGATGAGCAAGGAGCTCCCAGCAAAACTCCAACAGAAGAAGGAAGACTACAGAAGGTGGAAGCAGGGACAGATAACCTGGGAGGGATAACAGAGGGATGTTGTCCAAGTATGCAGGGATGGGGCTAGGAAGGCCAAGGCCCTTCTGCAGTTTAATCTGGCAAGGGACGTCACGGACAACAAGAAGGGCTGCTATAAACACATCAGTAACAAAAGGAAGCAGAGGGGAAACGTGGGCCCACTGCTGAATGGGGCAGGGGCCCTGGTGACTAAGGATACAGGAAAGCCAGAGTTACTGAATGCCGCCTTTGCTTTGGTCTTTACTGCTGAGGCCAGCCCTCAGGAATCCCAGGCCCCGGCCACCAAGAAGAAAGTCTGAAGAAAGGAGGACCTGCCCTTGGAGGGAGGGATCAGCTTAAGGATCACTTAAGCAAACCGGACATGCACAAGGCCATGGGCCCTGAAGGGATGCATTCCCGAGTGCTAAGGGAGGTGGTTGATGTCGTTGCAAGGCCCCTCTGAATCATCTTTGAAAAGTCATGGCAATGAGGAGAGGGGCCTGAGGCCTGGAAGAAAGCAAATGGCACTCCAGTCTTCTGCAGCACCTCTGTGGGAAGGCGCGAGGCATGCATTCCCGAGTGCTAAGGGAGGTGGTTGATGTCGTTGCAAGGCCCCTCTGAATCATCTTTGAAAAGTCATGGCAATGAGGAGAGGGGCCTGAGGCCTGGAAGAAAGCAAATGGCACTCCAGTCTTCTGCAGCACCTCTGTGGGAAGGCGCGAGGCTGGCGGGGAGCAGATGCCCAGCACCCCGGTCGCCCCTGGCCGAGCTGGGCTGGCAGGAGGGCAGGGAGGGCACCCGGCAGCCCCCTGGGTGCCAGCCTGCCTGGACAGGGACACCTCTTCCTCGAAGCACAGGCAGGAGGCAGGGCCCAGCACGGCCCCCACCAGCCTGGAGTGCGTCCCCCCTCCTGCGC